CCCCATCCCTTACCATTTTCTCACATACTGTACATGTACATTTGTATGTGTCTAAACACTGTCTATACATATGCAAGTACATGTACATTACAGGAGTGCTCAGTACGTATGTATATACTACAGGGTTAGTACACCATACAACTCAAAATAATAACATTCAACTTTTATAATTTTTTTCATTAAATTCACACATTTCTCAGCATTAATACCATATGGACTATTAAAATACTGATGGAATTCCAAGAGGAAGCAAACAAGCACTCAATGGCACATTTTAACACCTACGGACTTGCAAGGAAAACATTAACATTTGAGGACGGCCGGCCGGACGACAGACGACGGAAATCGGTATTACACAGGCTCGCATTTGCTTCCCAGCTCACCAAAAATTAGATCATAAATAGTATCTGTGTTTCCATTTGTCTTTTCATTCCCTTGTCTTTCCTTTTTACACTTTTAAAATTCAAGTGAGATTTAGCAAGCACATTCCAAGCACTGCCCAAGAACCTTTGTCCATTACAAACAGTGGCTATGCTTGGAGGGTCAACATGAGAGCGGCACGTGAGTGCTGCCATTGGGCAGGCAGTGGCAGCCAGGCTTTAGCCACGCCCTGTGGCCATGTGCAAGCTACATTTGGGCCCTGATAGCAATCAGGCTTGCTTTAAAGGCAGGACCAGAGTCAGAGGCAGCATGTAGGGAGAATTTAGAATGTGAATGTCTCATTCCAAAACGTTGTCTACTGGTACCTTGTTTTCATGTTGCATAGTCTCAAATGTATAATGATTCCAACCATACAACTTTTATTCCATCGTGTTGAATATTTTAAGAGTATTAATAGTACACAAATATCGTCTCGGCTTTTTTTTTATCACGCAGTCAGAATTCTTGCTACCTCATGTTACAAATGTGGGATAGTGCATGTAGTTCTTTTCCAGCCGTTTGAAGAAGTTTCTTCCATTATACTTTCAGACTTTCAGATACTTTCAGAATTTACTGTAGGCAGTACAAAGAATAGTCACTGCATTTGATACAACGAATGATACAACATCTAAGAATAGCACGCCTAGCTAGGCCTCGTTGAGATCGCAGCGTGTAGCCTGCACGGGTTGGCCCGGCCACACAATGAAAAGACGTTAACCAAGCAGCCTGCTTTCAAGTTCGCAACCTACAGTAAAAGGGTCGGCATTGATCGTGCATACTTTCCAACCCATTATGTGGGGGCGCCAAAGAGTGTGTTCATTGTTTTCAACAAACCATTATCATAAAGTCAAATTTAGTCAAGTCCAGGTAAGTCACATATCACGTGCCTTCAAGTCCAAAGTCATTTATTTCTAAGTCAAGTCTCAAGCAAAAATAACAACAAATAAAAAATAGCCACTTAGGCCGAGTCAGTAACTCGAGTCAACACCGAAAAAACAATCATTGGTGGTATCGAAATAAAGGCTATTTCAGGAACAAGTTTTATTATAAATGCACATATTACTCTACTTTCCTAGACTTCTTGATTTGTTCATCAAATCAACTATCAATTGTTGATCAATGGTAAAAATCTAAATTTATCTGCCAACTACATGCATACGTAATCTGCAAGACATATAAGCCTATCGTAACCATTTTCCGAGACTCCCTATGGCAAGCATTTCTTTTTAGGATATTAAATGTGAGGTTTCCAAGTTCCATCGTCATAGCCACACAGATCTGTTGTATTGACATCCAGAGGGCATCAAGTGTGACCATTTCTTTGAGCTATTGCTATGCAGTTTCGGGCTTGATCCCGCATTCTGAACAGGGCCCGTGCAAACACAGGAGTATGGGGGGGGGGGAGATTAAGAATAATGGACCCATTCCACCGGTACGCCCACGTCGGACCAGGAAAAATATTTTTGATCTTTGCTCTATCAAATCCTTGCACGCGTTATAAAATTCACAACAAAGAAATGGTTATGGGAGGCCTCTGGCAGCTTCTCTTTATTTCAGTATCAATCCTAATTATTTCAACCATTCACTGCTCTAGAAACTCCATTCACTTCTGCAGAATAGTCAACACGAAGGGCAATAAGCCCTCAAGACAAAGATACATGTAGCTTAGTTCAAGAGCAAGTTTTGAAGTTACCTGTGTGGTCACGCCGCTCTGTATCCCAGAGTCCATGCCGTAGCCGTGGTGCTGCCAGTCTAGCGTCTGTTGCATGGGATCTTGCTTGGGCAGGTCAGCCAGGGCCGGGCTCCCGTAAGCACTCTGACCAGCTGGACTAGCCGCAAAGGGCTTTTGCTACGTGGGCAAATCAAACAGTTGCAGAAACTGTCAATACCAAAGTTGGTGCTATTTTTCACTTGCTTCCAGGAATTCTTCTAACAAAAAAATTTCTACCAGACAAGCCAAAACCTGGCATAAAATTTTTGATGATTACAAAGCTAGCAATAGATGTAAATTGAATTTACATTAACCCTAACAGCAGAGTATCCATCAAACTCTTTAGCAGGTATTGGAAGGTTTTGGCAGGTTTTGGTACCATATCCAATAAACTAGTTGGATTTTGTTGGACTTGGTATCACAGGCCCAGGGTGATGGTGTTAGATGTTGTGTGAGTTGGGACACATGGGGGTCATTGTGTGCAGTGTCTGGCTCGCTGACAAGTGTTGGACTATGCTTGATTTTGTCAGGTTTGGTATTGCTGCAGTGCAAGTCATCCTATACTGCATAGACCCATCCAAACCATATCAGGGTAATTCCACAAACTAGGGGTCCAAAAGTGTGATATTTTTGTGTCCCTTTAACATCTGACCTTTGTTATTTGACATGGAAATACCACCGGAATTGATTTCAAACTATTACTATTTGTTTGGCAGGTAATCTGCATTAATTCATCACTCTTGGAAATTTGAAAATGATTACAAAATCATATGTCAGATGTGACTGGAACACACAAAAAATGGACCCCAATTTCTGGAATTACCCATCACTCCAACTCTAACAGGGTCATATTGTTGAAGTTAACAGCTACCTGCTTGTACTATTACATAGACAAGTGCATGTATCTGTTGAAGTTTGTTGGGTTCGGTATCCTGAGTGTAGAGGGGTTAGGGTCAAAAACGTCATTTCTCTCACTTTGTTTAGTCCAATGCAAATGCAGCTTAACCCTCCTATGCTGAAGTCACTCTTTGGGTCACTTGGTAAACACCTCAAAGAAGCACAGCTGTGTTGTGTTGTGCACTGCACCAACAGTCCCTCACAGGAATATCAGATTGCACTTTTGTGCTGCCCAACAACTGTGCCTCACTGTTTCATGTGCATAACTGTGCGGTAAACCAAATGCAGTGAAGAGGACTGCACAGAAGACCTTGGGTCATTTTGTGCTGGCAACCAACTGTGTACACAGTGAACCTATGCATGTTTGTGTTCTATGTAAAAAATACACGCACAAGAGTGACTGTGGGCACTCGTGCATATTTGTGCTGTAAAACCAAAGGAGGGTTAACGCTAAAGCACAAAATCTACTTACCCTCTGCGCTTCCATTGTGATCACGTTTGCAGTACTCCTTCCCAATTGCTACCCACACTCCTATACGAACATGGAAGGGTAAAAAAAAGAGAGACCATTCAAACATTCATCAGAATCACCTATATTTCACAATGGTAAAACATGGGTTATCATGAATTCCTCAACTGGTCAGTGATGAGCTCATGCTCAAGTAAAGCCCTGAAGACCATGGCAAAAACAATTGTGCCGCTGATCACTACATGGAACATACAATGTCTTACATGTAGATGCACGTTCCGTGGAGCAACAGCAACGCTGCACCCCAATCTGCTAACACTGAGCTAAACCATCTTTAAAAAAACCCATATCTACTAAGTAACTTCGGAACCTCTGCCTTTGCAATTTACAAAGTTGATCAAAAGAAGTCTGTTTTCTTGAGAATATGGCAATCTTGTTTGAACGTAATTTCTCCTCCTTTGATCTCTTCAAGCTCAAAGGATAATATCTTACAATGGCACGGGGTGACATGACATGTACTGTGCATGTCAATGCACGAGTTGCTTTGCCTAGAAAATTCTAGAGCTACGTGTACTACAAGTTAACTTTGAGCATTCGTGATCAACATCAAAACCAACACGAGCTGACGCTTTCCAAAGGAAACCTACACCTGTCCTGATACAGTAAGTTCTTTAAACCATAGTTCATCCACCTTCTAACCCAAACATATGTAAGCTAATATGTAAATCCAGATACGATGTACAGCTACTGCACATAAGGAAATGAAATGCAGGAACAAATTAAACACCTAAAATCCTCCCACGAAAACCATCCTCTACTTGGAAACTGAATAACCACGTACTTGGCATTTGATTACTTAGTCTATGCATAATAGCAGTCGGTATTATAAACAGAGCGATAAATGTACATGCACTTGCACTGTACACCTACAGGTACATGTACGTCTGGCAAGTACTTGCATTCCACTGCAATGACTGTACACATACTTGTGCATTTCATATACACAGTGCATGCGGGGCTGGACAAATGAGGTCAATGCTGGTGGTAAATACTTCGCTTTAACATTCTGACAACCGTTAAAAAAACAATGTAGCCCACGTTACACAAGCTACTCAGGCTACAGAAATAAAAGAGATTAGCAAAGCTCTACTGGTGCTGGGAGTAACTGTGGATCTACTCTGTACATTTACAAAGACAGAAAGGTTCATTCTTGGCCAGGAAAGGGTGACATTACATCTGTAAGGCTTATGTCACCAGCCACAGGGCAAGGTTTTCCTAGCTGGTCCATTCCACACATTTTTAATCAGCTGGCCACAATACATGAACTGGCACATCCAATGGCTCCATTGCAGTTACATGTCCCAGTACCCCTATATGTGTACCAAACAACAATTTCCTTGCACCTGTTTCAATGGGTCCTCACAGGAGCCCAGTGTACACCTCTTTAGGGGTCACCAAAGGTCAAGCAGAAATGCCGCCCACAACCACCCAGACACAAAGGCTGAGTTCGGGTGGCTTGTTCTCGTATGTTCACTACAGCTCAATTTGTTGCTCGAACAAACAACCGGTTATTGGTGGTAGTTACTGGCAAGCAACATGCAACATGGCGGCGTCCATGCAAGTTATTCGAGAGTTTATGTTTGGATGGGCTGAATTCTTTTCTATTTAAATAGGAACATTGATTTCTGTGTTATGGAAAATAGTTAATGTTAATTTTGCAAAACTTCCCATTCACAGTCTGTGGCTTTGGAATCCATCTCTATACTTTTTGCAGCTGTTCAAAGTTAAAATTTCACGAAGCTTTTCGTGCGCTCATGTAAAATCCTGATGAGGAGGTGGTGTGTGATCCTGTTACAAGAACAGTGTTCTTGGTCGTGTTCTCGCCAATCGAGCGAGAGAACAAGAAACCCATGTCAAGAACAGGCCGCCCGAACTTGACCTTTATGCATATGGTCGCGTCACTACCAACAAAGGTGGAGTTCGGGCGGCCTGTTCTTGACATGGGTTTCTTGTTCTCTCGCTCGAACGGCGGGAACACGACTCAAGAACACTGTTCTCGGAACAGGATCACACACCACCTCCTCGTCAGGGTTTTACAGAAACACAAGGAAAAAATCATGAGATTTTGATTTTTGAACAGCTGCAAAAAGTAGAGAGATGGCTTCCAAAGCCATAGACAATGGGAAGTTTTGCAAAATTAACATTAATTATTTTCCTTAACACCGAAATGAATGTTCCTGTTTACATAGAAAAGAATTCAGCCCATCCAAACATTAACTCTCGAATAACGTTGCCTACTTAGACGCCGCCATGTTGCAATGCATGTTGCTTGTCACTAACTACCAGCGATAACCGGTTGTTTGTTCCTGGCATTCGAGCGGCCGACCCATGAACAACAAATCCAGCTGTTCGTGAGCATACGGGAACAACCCGCCCGAACTCGGCCAAAGAGGGTTGTTAGTTAACACTAAGCATATGCACAAGTAAATGTATATGTACAATAAACTTAAAGTTGACATCGAGTAACCCGTCATATTGTCCAAGTCAGCCGTTTGACAAAAGTCCTGATCCTCTGTAATGCATTTCCATTGAAAATTTCATTTCTAAGTCGGCATTTATTTGTTGTCATATGTCGGCATGTTTTTCTCAGTTCCTTTTCCACAAAACCACAAAAATTCCTTTGTGTAAGTCAGCATTGAACAAAAAATTGTGCTTCAGTATCGGCTTCCTTCGCGCAGTTGCCAAGAAGTGTCAAGTGACAAGTCCTGTGCGTGCGTGGCCAGCATGAGTACATCAATACCAGTAACCCCTCTGGTGCTACATGTAAGTGCTCTGTCCATTTGGGGGGTAGCCTTATTGAACGTAGTCTGGTTCCATGCCCAAAGATTCCCGGACAACCCAACTTCATCTCCATCTCAGGCTTCCTCCCCGAAACCAATCCCCGATTGTGGGCCTGAAGGGCTTAAATCAAATTGGATTATTGAAAGTTCTTGCTCTCTTGCATCTTATATGTTTTGTGGCACAATTACCCTAATTAGTGTGCTTACAGCTTCAAACTCAGGTAGTAAAAAAGTTGAAGCCCGAGACGGAGCCAAGGTTGAGTACTGGAAAACGACCTTGATAATGATTCGTTGGGTAGTCAGAATCGTCAGGTCTGGTATCCAGACTATATAGAAGGACTTAACCAATGCACATGTGTGGATGAGTGTATGTTTTCTGAACCATAACTGTATCACATACATAATGTACAGACTGCACTGCCGAGTCGTGATGTGATATGAAAGTGGCTTGCTGTCCTTGCTTCGTCCTTAGGGGAACATGATCAATTATCCAATTTGCAGAATGATCAAGAACGAATTTGCTGGGATCGACCATGGAGGTAGAAAAAAAACCAGGGTAAATCAAAGCCATTGAATCAGTGCAAAGAATCATAATGTACATAGGCAATACATGTGTACGTGTAAGTCAGCAAAATGACGACTCACAACACAATCCGGCATTCGCATAAGTCGTCATAATTTCTTCAGTCCTGAGAGTCCTGGCTTAGCCGGAGTTTACTGTACATGTATATGTACCCGGTATGTAGTCTGGTATATGTATGTAGTTTGGTTCCCTGTACAACTTGTACTTGATCATGTTGATTGGGCTGTAAGAATCCAGCTAAGAATATATGGCCTGACCTTTGTGGACGACTCATGTGCATTATCATAGTTGCAGTGGAATTTGGCAATCCATTCATTTGTGAACAAAACACTTGATAAAATGAAGACAGCATTCTAACTCCCACAGTTTACAGTTGGATGAGCTTATTCTAGATCACAAGTGACAAAGTATCTAACAGTGGACATTACGTAATTAAGAAATTATGAGCAGATGGGATTTCAAGCTATTCATGGTGATAGACAACTAAGGTGGAAAGCTTGCGGTAGCACCATGCAAGGATACGATCTCTTTGTGAGTCTGTATGGTTCTGAAAAGAACCGTGAGGAACTCAACGTTTCGGACAGTATGCTCCTGACGACGGACAAAGCATACTGTCCGAAACGTTGAGTTCCTCGTGGTTCTTTACAGAACCATATAGACTCACAAAGAGATCGTATCTTTGCATGGTGCTACCGCAAGCTTTCCACCTTAAATTATGAGCAGTCCATATGTGAAAGAAGTTTATTTTCGGTCAGTTTTCCACGTACATGCAGTTTGGTGTCAATTGGGGCTTACAGTGTTAAGATTGAAGAGGCTGTTGCAGAAATACAGGGCTCAGAAATACAGAAATTCTCAGGGCTGAAAAAATGTTGCATGAATGACCACTGACAGAATTAATGATGCACAGATTGATTCACCAGCATTGTTCAGTGTACACACCATGGGGAAGTATGTTTTTGAATAAGTCCTGGCAAACTGAAAGTGTGTGAAGCTAGCACATACAAAGAAAATGAAAGCGAAGGAACTGGCAGAGTTCCAGTTAAGTCAATACGCCATTTGCGAGTTAAATTTGAATAAAATCTGGTACACTGAAGTCTTTAAATTCACATGAACATAACTTGAATTCTCCATACTAAAACCACTGTTGCTATACCTCGAGATTCAGGGCAAGCTTTTGCTTAGTTACATAAGAGATGCCTTGCAACAATATACTGTTCTAAATGGATAAGAACGGCACAAAGGCACCAGTCCATTCCAGAGACGGTGGTCGCTATGCAAAAGCTTGCCCCGAATCACGAGGTATAGCAACAGTGTCTTTAGTCTGGGGAATTCAAATTGTTACGTTTCTGTGCAATCAGATAACACAGCGTACCAGATTTTATTCAAATTTATCTCACAAGTGGCTTATTCAACAGCTTATCAACAATTGCAGTTTCAAATGTTGCAGTGGTCTCCACAGGAGTTTAGCATGGCGGGCCGCCCTGACAATCAAGAAAAGAATTTTTTTGCCAGCTAGATTTCCGTTTTGATTTTCAACAGTTTTGAACGGTTTGTCAAAAAACGACCAGCTAACCACAATTGCTCTGGTTGACTTTTATACGAGAAAAGTATTGTTGCTATTTGGAACCGGTTAAACCGACTCAGAACTACTGTAGAAGTGTTGTCACTTCTGACGATCCCGTAATAAGTCCCGATTAAAAGCTTAGATTTTGAAAGTAATTTTTAGTTTTTCCAATACACAAGGTGAACGACTAACGATATTACACTGAAATTTTAGGATTTTGTCGCTGGAATGTGACCACGAAGTTAGTTTTGAGATCCAGGATTAGGGAAGCAACTGTGCATCATCTACTCGCGCTGCGCCCATGTACGTATATGTAATTCCGAACCATCCACCCAGAAAAAAAATCAACTTTTGATGACCTTTTTTTTAAAAGAGAATTGCGTTTTCCGCTTTCTACCCCAAAATCCGCAATTTTTGCGGATTTTCCGCAAAACTCTGGACTTTAGTCTAAGGTTATGTCTGACCTGAGCAACTGAAAGCATCCTTAGTCCTTCTAGCCACAGAGCCTAAGGTAGGGATCAACCAATGATCAGATCGGACATCAGATCTGGCCGATGTTCGGCAACATCGGCAAAATATTGAATCCGGAGAATTTGACCTTCCTTGCCGATACGAGTGCCGATGTTAAGTTGAAGAAAGGAGCAAACTCTGCACTCAGTTTGGCTAACAAAAATCTCATGTTTTTGTATGAACATGAATACAAACTGTGGTTTTTGTGTGTGTGGTTTTTTTTATTTGGTGTGATAAACAAACGATTATACCATAGTTAAACCCACATAAAGTATCCCTGAAAATTATTTCACCTGCGCGATCCATGCCGCAACAAATCAATCCCCGGACCGTGGCCGGCCCCATATTGAGCAGTCAGTGTACATGTACACTGTTTCCATTGACAGCCAGGGAACTACATGTACACCGTGTGTTGCACCATGCACACACGAGGTGCTGTGTGACCGGTCTGAAGGTAGCCCGCGATTTAGCCTTTATGTAAGGCACGTGTGGCTACCTGATCATACAACGTGCACCTCTGCTGTTGGCATGCACGATGAAGACACCAACGCAATGGTGCAGTGGTGCCATGCATACCTTGACTGAAATATAAACAATATATATATAAATATTAAAAAACCACTTTTAAATCTGTAGAGGATATTTTCGAGTTGTTGATGCTACTTGTGTGTGCTGACGCTAAATAGCACGACTGGAAATCCCCCACCATCAAAAATGGTTGAGCCATGATATGGAGCCACACAATCGTGACACATCCACTATCTGATAAACACAAGACGCATGAACAGAGCGATTGTCCGCAGGTGGTGAGCAAAAATCTTATTTTTTTGTCAAAAATACTCCATGTCATGCTCAGAAACCTTTGGGATGATATAGGGGGGGATTTACTTGGGGTAAATTTAATCTAATAGCTTTGTTACACCTGTGAATCATTCACTTATCAAGTTCGATTCCAAAAAACCAGCATTACGACACTCTGTAAACTGTACTGGCTCAAAGTCACACAGTGTATGACCAAGAATAGCCCCACTAGTGTGGCACGGACTCTCACTCCCGATCCATCCTTAGACATATGACATCCTTCAGACATATGTAATACACGGACTGAGCGATAAGATACTACATGTACCAATGGGCTCTTCCAAAACTTTGGCAGCAGTTTAGATGTCTTGACATGGAACAGCTGTCGAGACGATGAGGGGTCAAGTGACTTAATTTGCAATGACCTTATTTTAAAGATGGCAACTGTGAGAGCGAGCCCGTTAGATTGAATGGATAAAGGCAAAAAGACTGGAAAATACCTGAATAACGTGAGTGAAATCATTCAATAAATGGTTTTTAGAAAGCGGAAAGGTCAAGAATCATTTTTCGTGTTCAAAAGAAATTGCGCCCACAATGATAAGTGGGTGCACCGAAATGTTCAATACGCCGACACGAAATTGCGTATACGGATGTGTGGCTAAGGATGGATCGGGAGTGAGAGTCCGTGCCACACTAGTGGGGCTAGACCGCGAAGTAACTTTAACCTAAAGTTCTCGAAGTAGCTAGCCTAAGCTAAGCTGAGAAATACAGCCGGGACTTCATGCACATGATGCATAAATGTTATCACGGGCAAGCAAGCCACCATGAACCTGATGAAAATGACAACGCTTGCCCTAATTGTGATGTGGATTTCAATTTGTGATGTCTTTTCCTTATTAGTACATTGGCCCATGGAGGAAGGACATGCTCACGATCTTAAATGTTTCAGTCGTTCGTCAGTCTATTCTGCCAAATGCTTTCCCCCACACGCCATGGAGGAACCATTCACAGGATTATCATTGTACGTATTGTAAGCATTCTGAACCAAAATAATATACTTACCGGATAATTGTGGGTTTCGCCAACCCCTACAATCCTTAATTCTGTATCAAACAGCTAGGGAATCGCTACACACTGCAAGAAATTCGAAGGCCAACGCAAGCACTGTCAACAATTTACAGCTTCGATCAGTGCACTACTTACTCCGCCTGCACTGCTTTACGAACAATCCAAGATGGCGAGTTCCAAAAGCAACGATATTAACGCTAGCCAGGTCACCTGTCAATCAATCAATTGAGGTTTAGTACGCTGAGATAAAATAGTTCCCTTTTTCAGTCAATTCAGACGCAACTTGTGCCCCCTCCCTAAAAGATAAAAATTACAATTTTATGTATCATCTATGGACATTTCGTATATAATGAGTGAATAAATTTACAGTAGTCTGCGAAATACGCTCCAACGGAAAAATCGTATGTGGCGCAGTAAATGAGTGAATCGGCTGTGTACTCACCCAGTTGGAATGTGTCAACAACGTCTGTGAATACATTGACCAAAAATTGAACACCAAAGCATTGTTTGTTTGTAACAACATTAAATGCGCAGTGACACTAAGAATGTGATTAATAATTAAACCAAATGATCAGAGCATGGCACTTAAAAATAAACCTGTGTACAACAATCACCTACATGTACATATCTTTGAGAAAATAGAAGGAAAAAAGTTCTCATATTCCGCAATTTGTGAAGCAAGCTTCTGTCGTTTTCTGTCACTGTGCAGACTTCAACGTTTGACCCCGCCCTTACATTCCAACACAATGAAAAGAAAACAGACATGACTAATAGGGCGGAAATGACAGCCGTACACAATTTGTCACAAGTTTTTCCTCCCGGCATCTTTTGCTTTCGTCAGGCTCGATGTCTGTCCCTTGGTCTGTGTTTAAGTTATTTTCTCACGTATCATCCGAGGCTTGGGCATGTATATGTACCTGGCCACACTGTAGGTAAAAGGTCCCTTTGTAGGACTTTCCAAATCACCTTGTAACAGGTGCCTTGTACTATCAGCCAGTAATGGAAAACGAAGAAAAACAACGCCTTTGGCCTAAAATGTTTTTATAAACATGGCATCGTATCAACAGTGCTTTTCTTATCAGTGTTCGACAGTATAAATTTGTTATATTTTCGTCTCGTGTTTTCCCCTCTAGATATAGTGTCGGGGCCTTTTTATCAGCACTGTTTCTTTTATCATTTTGCATTTCATAAATAATTTAATTGGACATATTTTGCCCATATAAATTAACTTTTTAAATAATTTCCGTAACAACTTTTACAACAATTAAAAAAGTATATACATTAGGGTTCTGGACTTTTGGACCATTGAAGCTTGCTTATTGACGAAGTCCGTGCCAGTACCCCGTTGAGCGGAGGATAGCTCTACGGGGACGCGTAGGGGTCACTAGAAAGGGGTGGTTCCATTCCCCCTTGCTGGTTACTGCCAAGTTGAACACGGTGTGGATCTAGACAGGGCGTTCTTGGGGTTAACCCTCCCCCTTTCTTCCGAGTTCATACCACTCAAAAATATGTATATGTTTTCCGAATTTTTTTAGGGGCCTTCGTCTAAAGGTTTAAAGACCCCTACAAGCATTAACGATTGTAGGGGTGTTATTTTGCGTGTAGAGAAATATTTAAGTTCAGCGACAACCACAGGTATAACGCTTCCGTACGAACAAAACATTCCCAAAAAGTTTTTGTGGAGGAGGTATGTTCAGTGTAAAAAAAATTACGGGTCTGAAATTAAATTCAATTTTAAATTGAACGTATTTTTTTTATTTCTTGATAAGCGTAGACATCAATTTTTAAATTAAATCAGGACGCCACCTTTCAGATGAACGCCTCCACTGTTGAGAGGTAGGGCGCCCCCAATTCCTAGAGCACTTTAATCACAACAACGAGGGCGCTATATTCGAGTTGGGTTTGCAGACTGATACTGCGTAAGAGCGAGTTGAGTGCAAAACGCGTGCTGAGCATCAAGCAGAATCGACCTGTACTCCACAAATAGTGGTATCGCCAACTTGTCAGTAAATCAACATTATGATAAATATACCGAGCTCATTTCAGAACGTCAGATAAATACACACAAATCCCCAAGGTCTTTGAGACACAAATCAATCAAAGCTTCTTCCAGATTCTGTTCATTTAAAACTAATTCTGTGAATTTTTGGAAATTTTTTCATCCACAGATGATAACCTCCCCAAGTAAATGAAAGTCCACTGCCATTTTTAAAAGCATGTGTCTCCACTCCAGCGAAAACTGGAATACTTTTGGAACCCACATTCTTCCTTTGCAAGTGTAACATATGGAAACTGGCAGTAAAGCCCCACGCTTGCAACTTTCCAGTTTGCAAAGCACTGATTCAAGGGACAAAATCCTTCTAACAGCAGGAAACTCGAGGGCATGCAAATTTTGATTAATTCTGTCTGCTTCAGCCATTTGGGCCCAACATCCCTTCAACCTATAAGCCTCGAGCTGGTCCAAAAGAGGTGAGAATTTCCTTAGCAACGAAGACTCCTTTAATTTGGTCGGAACTGAATTCACAAACTAACATGAAGTGCCCGAGCAAAATGACCACTCTCGCTACCAGCAAAATGAACACTCTCGGCCAATATGGCTCTTTTCAACCGATGAAGGGGTGCTTCTGCTCGAGGTGGATTGAGGCCCAGTCGCTATATTATTATTATCAAAAAAGCCGTCAGCATTGTCATGCATGTGTATTTTACTGGTGATCTGGGTTCGCTTCCGGATACCAGCGGGAAATCACCTGCCCCTCTTTCCTTTCCTCTGTTCTTTGGAACTTCAGAATGAACACACTGACTGACAAACGACGCGGTCTCTCCTTACAAAACTATACTTTATCGCGCTTACATTGTCAGCCGTCTTTGAACGGCTAACTACACTATAGATTCTGCCGTACAGTCACTGCCGTCACAGTTGCCAGTTCCTTCCGTGCGTCTGTGTTTGTTTTGTTTTTGTCTTTAATGTTTACTCATTTTATCGCAAGAAAGGGGGAATTTTAGATCATCGGTATTCGTCATTACGGGTAGAGAGGACAGCGTGCACGAACGGGGCACATCTGTATTTGATAACTCTCGGGTTTGACTGTGACAACCAGGCAGCGAACTTGAACACGTGTTTACACAGAAGTACACGGTAACCACGCCACTGGTGACATACAATACACCGAATCACATCGCCCAAAACAACTGGCGGTATCGGATCACAGATTGAACAAATTGTGGTCAGGCGTGCAAAGCTGGGTGTTAGGGAAACAACGACTCTCGGGTTTTCAGAAGAATGCGGATAATCGTAAATTATTAGACGAAGGGGAAATTCAAGCACAAATTGGTCTTTTAAGCAAACGGTATTCAAATCTGGAGCTGGCGAGGTCTTCCAGACTTCAGTTGGCCGAGACAGTTTGTCTGGAATTGAGGAGCTTAAATGTCAGACCGTCAGTCAGGTAGGAAGGTTTATTCTTCTTTTACAAAATTTCTTCTGCTGCTATTGTCTTTTGAAACTGCTTTGATATTTCGCAACATTTTCCGTTAAATTCACAAGCAGACTCGTCACAGTCGACAGAGGTTCAACAATAGGCCTATATAGGAGACAACGACAAACGTCAGACCTGAGTACCAACCGGTATACCAACCCATGCTTCCCGCTTACACCATCCCATGAAGTGTTGAAGCAAATGTCTATTTCCTAGGGCCTAAAAGTAGGTATTCATTTCACTTGCTAATGCCCTCAACAGCGGGCTGCCTCCCGTGATACTGTTAGGGTCGTGATTGAAGCGTCGCCTTTCATGTTGATGCTAGACTGGTCTAGTGTAGCTAGTTTCAAGCTTTCCCACAGCTACAAAGAGAGTTATCAAAACTCTTAAAACTATTCGTATAAAAAATCCCACTTACCCCACCCACCAAGACCTGGATGGGCCACTGTTATAGGCACGATGCCTACTGCACCTACTGGATAATCCACCCCTGAAAGGGCTTAGGTTTTGATACATCGAAACCACCCCCTCCCTCGGGGAGAGAAGCTCAGATTCGCCGAACAGGAATTATGATGCTTCTCATGCATAAAAGAGCCATTCCTAGGAAGTAATCTTTTATGCAAACTTAATTGCCAGTTACTCACTTTGCAAAGCTTATCTAGAGTGGTTTCTGTCACCATGTGTAATAAGATCACGACTCTTTTGTAAAGCTCTTTACCGTGTGTTTGCGTTGTCTTTGGTCTGTATCTAGTCTCCAGTATCAATATGATCAATACAAGTCATGATTATACAAAGTGTCCAAGTCATGTCAAAGCT